TTGAAGTGAAAGCTTATCGTATTCGTTTGAGATTTTTCTTTTATTCAAAAGTTTACAATTAATGCTATGAATTTCCTTTTCAACACTGCATTAGCTATGTCCCACATGCTGGTATATTTTACTTTCATTTCTCATTCATTTTAGTGTATCTTTTAAAATCTCCATTGAGACGTCTTCCTTGACTCATGAAATTATTTAGAAATATGTTTAGTTTGTGTTTGGAGATTTTACTGTTACACTACTGATTTCTGGTTTCATTCTATTGTGATTATTCTGTATGATGTCAATTCGTTTAAATTTATTGAGTTTTAGGTCAATTCAGGGTAATGTCTATCTTGAATGTAATGTCGTATTTGAACTTGAAAAGCGTATGTGTTTTGCTGTTGTTGGATGTCTTGTTCTATAAATGTCAGTTACATGTATTGGTTGATGAGAATGTTGAGTTTAAAAAGGTATGAAGTCTCCAACTACAACTGTGATCTCTCTGCTCAGTTCTATCATTTTTGTTCATATTTTGCTGTTGTTTGGTGTATACACATTTAGAATTATACTTTCTTGACACACTGAACTTTTTATCATTCTATTATATCCCTCTGTCTCTAGTAATTTTCTTTGATCTGAAATCTACTTTATCTGATAGTAACATATCCACTCCTGCTTTTACCTGATACATATTTTTCCATTCTTTTTCTTTCAGTTTGCCTATATTGCTTGAAGTGAGTTTCTTGACAATAATATACAGTTGTCATTTTTTAAAAATCCATTCTGCTAGTATCCGTCTTTTAATTGGTATATTCAGGCTATTTACATTTAATGTAATTACTGACATGTTAGAGCTTAAGTCTGCCATTTTATTTCTCTGTTGTTTTTTGCTTGGTTTTTCTCATGCTTATATGTTACTTAAATACTTTTTAGAATTCCATTTTGATTGATCTACAGTATTTGAACTTATTTCTCTGTGTATCTTTTTCCGTAGTTTTAAGTATTTCCTCTGTATATTTAGAATCACCTTAGGCAGTGTTACAGTTTTTGCTTCAACTCTCAAACACAATTTAGAAAACTGAAGATGGGAAGGAAAGTCTATACAGTACATACCCATATTTTGGCTTATGCTTTCAATTTCTTTTGATGGTTCAACTTCTCTTGTTCATTTCCTTTCTATTTAGAGGACTTCCTTTCACCTTTTTTAGCGCAGGTCTGAGGGTGTCAAGTTCTCTGGTTTCCCTGAACCCATCCCATCTGTCTGAAACCAAGTGGTGGCCCAACAATACTACATCCCAATACAGCAGTGGATGCCACCCCCAAAGTGGGGCCAGAACTAAGAAAAATCATTCTTTTACAATCCAGAGGCCTGAGGGTAAAGGGCACTGCAACCTATCACGGTGAGAAGACGGAGTGGGAAGAGTTTGAAGGGGAGCTGGGAAGGTCCAAACTCGAGTTGCCATTTGTGGGAGTTGTGATGAGGCAGGAGATGGGATAAAGAACAAAGAATCAAGGGCCAGAGCAGAGGGCAGAGAGAGGATACCCAGAAGAATACATACAACTGCCCTTTTTGCTGGATCATTCTGCAACGCAATGGCTTTTTCCCAATGGAATGCCAATCTACTACCCTCTTCAAGTTTCGGCCTGAAAATGCTGTTAAATTGAGGTGAGAGCAGGTCTCTCGGCCTCCTAAACTTCTCTGGAAGTCATGCAGGCAAGATCAGAAAGAAAGTATTAATTTGGCCATGTTTTTAGAAGCCATTGCCATAGGTAACCTTACCTGACACACGTCTCTCCACGCTGACCCCCACTTCCTACGGGAGGCAACTAGGGGGAAATAACTTTCCTTAATCCTTAGATGGGCAATGACAGGGTCTCCAATTTCCCATTTCCAGTTTTCATTTAAGCATCTTGGTTCTCATAATCCCCTGGCACACCCATCTCTTCCAGCTGCCATGATTTCACCCCTTCCCCTTCAAAATGAGAAAAGAATAGGGCTGTTCTTCCACGGCCACGTTTTGAAATGCCCCGTCTCCCATTTCAATTGGTCGCAGGGCAATGAAGGAAAATGTTCTTCAAGTCTGAGAATTCTCTAAGTGATTAGGAACTCTTTTCAGATCCCAAACATCCACAAGCTTAAGAAAAAGAATGAGCACATAATGATTTAATTGGCTTTCTCTTTTAATCAAAAACATACTTTGTTACAGAGTTCTCAGGAAAGATTCAATTATTTTTTAGCCACAGACTTCAACCAGGAAAAAGTATACAGAAAGCCACAAAGGAACTACCGGAACTTTAGCTGACCAGTTTCCCCAAAAGCAGAAGCTGAGTGTGGCTGTTCTCTGAGTTTTAGTGTAGCTGCACTCCTCTGAGTTCAGGGGAGCGCACGGAGTTGGGAAATACCACCAGCAAATCTGTCCCCACCCCCAGTTGCTCCCTCCAAATGGTGCTGCAGCCCACCAAATTTTCATCATCAACAAGCATTCACAAGTTTCCCATAAGTCACGTCCAAGGCATTGGCCAGAACCCAATACCTGGAGGAAATTTGCCAACTCCATGTTTAGCCTTTTAACCAATCCAAGCCCACGAGTCCTTCTATCAATGACAAGCAGCCATAGCAACAGCAGCTGGTTACATCCCTTCCTCTCCAGCTACCACAGAGCTGGCCTCTACCAGGACTCCCCAACCCCCCACCCTTGACCCAACCCCAGTGAAGGCTCTCAAGGTCCTTGTAAAAGCCAAGTTCATCCAAAGAGAGGCTGGAAGAGAAGTCTGAAAGAAATGTTCCAGCCAAAAGTCTTCTAATCAAGTGGACTAAAGAGAGCCAAGAACAAAGTGAATGACCATCCACTATATATTTTCTTGAGTTGTACAAACCATTTTCATTGATACAGCTCAAAGGATTTTCCCTGTGTTGAGCAAAGAAGAGTTAAGAAACCAAAGACCCAAAGTAATGACCTCTAATATCATCAGGCATTTACAATAAGTTTTCGGTCCATTTTAGTTGAACAAATAAAATTACCTGCACACGGCACTTAAGGGGAGGGTGTCACATACAGCCAACCCGAAAGTCAGAAGGTCATGACTCAAAAAGGCCTTCGTAAACCTTCACTAGAGATGGTAGGAAAATAAAATGAAGGCTTTTCCCCCTCTCATTTTTTTTAAAAGTATTTATTGCAGCCCCAAGGTGGTGCTAGGCCTTTGGTTGAATTTAAGTCTTAAGAACATATTATGTAACTTCTTGTCCATAGGAGAACAATAATAAAATCTCAAGCCTAGTCTCATTCGAATAATGTGGAAGTAAGTAAAAAAGCCCCCTTAAACAGCAGAGCAAAGATAAGGAAGAAATCAGGACCTGCTGCAAGGTAGGGCAAGGTCACTTAAATTTCAGAGCTGGAGAAACTCATCTAGTCCAACTCCCTCATTTTACAGATGAGGCAACTGAGGCCCAGAGAAGGTAGGCGTTTACAATGACTTGCCCAAGGTCATACATCCAATTAGTGGCAGAGCACAAACTAGAGAGTACAAATGTCTGGTCCCAGACCAAAGCCACTAGTTTCAGGCTGAACAAGAGCACTGGCTCTGAGACCTACTGAGAAAGCATCTTAATAAACTGAAAACTATCCACACATCAATAGAGAGAAATGATTGTCTTCACCAGAGTTTTCTCATCAATCCTTATAGTTAAGAAAAAAAAGAGGTTCATTCAGTCACGCAAGTCTGATGTGAAAATCCCTGAAAACATCAGCAAGTACTTTAGCTACTCCTTGGGGCAAGATAGCAAACCCTCGATTCTCATAAAGGCACCTATAGGTCAAAAATATCTGTAGAGGAGGAAGGCCAGAACATAGGGCTCAAAAGGGGACACCTAAAAGTGGTCCTCTTGCCCTGGCCGGTGGCTCAGTTGGTTAGAGCATCATCCCATACACCAAACATCTGCAGGTCTGATCCCTGGTCAGGGCATATACCTAGGTTGTGGGTTTGATCCCTAGTTGAGGCACATACATGAGGCAACCAAACGATGTTTTACCTCATGCTGATGTTTGTCTCTCCCCCTTCCGCTCTCTCTAAAATCAATACACACATCCTTAGGTGAGGATGAAAAAAAATGATCCTTTTATTTTCCAACGTTTGTTTTTGTTTTTTTGGTTGTTTTGTCTTTTTGCTGGTGTCCTCTAGACAAGGGTATTGCCTCTGGCTATTGATACCTAATTTAATCACCCTCATAACCCCAATTTTTAGGTGAACAGCATTCAAGTGGAAGCAGTAAAACCTTTCAAAATCTTGCAAAGGGGGAAAATATGAATATGAGTCACTTCTCTCTACCCCAACTACCTGAAAATGAGCAAGATTCAGGAAGTACTCTAAGCAGTCAAATGCCAAAGCACTGAAGTCTCTTTCACTACATTACAGGAAAGTTTCCTGGGTCCTGTCCCAGTTTGCCCTTGTATTCAAAGAAAGTATTAACAATTTGGTTATCTGGTTTCCTTGCCCAAGCAGCTGGAAAAAATGAATCAGAAAGGGAAGAAGAACCAACTAACGGGAGGTACACTAACACATAGGAAGTGGTCACTGTCAGAAAGGGAGAAGATGGGGGGCTGGAAGGGAAAAAAAACCTAAACATTCAAAACCGCAGCAGTCTGCAACTACTCAGTAAAGGCAAACAGTCCTACCTGCCCAAGTTGCCCCAAAGTCGAGGAAGGAAGCTAGGCACACACACAGAATAACGTATCAGGTATGTTCTCTAACGCACACATTAAATAACTCCATCAAAGCAATGGCTAAAATAAAAAAGTTTTACTGCTTAAATAAGGCAAGTCTGGATTAGGTGAAAAATCCCAATCCACAGTGATACAAGATAAACCGCCTAGTAGCACTGGAACAAGTGCTAGGGACAAGGCCGGGCCTGAGGATGCTATGAATAAGGCCACTAACTTTTTACACCCTTACTCTCTTTAGAGAACTTATCCAGCTGTCAGGGAAAACGGCGGGGGGCGGGGGGGGTGCGGGGGGGGGGTAGGAGAAAGGCTTGCACAAAAGATTCTCATAGTCTATTTTCTATAACCTTGCAAAGGAGGATTCAGGCGATTATTTACAGATAGCCATCTGCGAGAAGACGGGCTCTGCCTTTCGAAGAAAAAAGATGGACGAGACTTGACTTGGGGTGAACGCACAACACAGTGTACGGATGATGTGTTGTAAAATTGTGCACCTGAAACCTGTATAATTTTGTTAACCAGTTTCACCCCAATACATAAAAAGGGGGGGAGGGGAGAAAATATGCATTTTTTCATTCTATTACCTGCTAATCTTTGCCAAGCCCCATCTATAAGAGTTGTTAACTGACTTTACAGGGAATTGCTTTCCTTTATTTATTTGCCTCAGTGATCTGAATCTACCATTCTTCCAATTTGCTATCATTAAATAAAATGCCAGTGAATGACTTAATGATAAAAGGAGCAAACTATAAAAACTATGAACAAAAAGGATTCTGCCCTACTCAAAATAAAACAGCATCTTCCAAGACTCTCAAAAAGGATCTGAACTAGATTTTGCGTAATAGATAATGAGTAACAACAATTAACCAGTTCCCACCAAACCAGGAACAAATACATTTCACCATATGTTCTTTAACCTCCACAGATAGTGAAGGAGAACCTTGTAAAAATGGAAAACTTCCCTTTTCCAGATGAGCACAATCAAAAAGATAACTGCAATAAATTTTCAAAATATCTATCGTCTGGAAGAGAGGAATTATATTTTGCCTTCAAAATTTCTGTTACAAATACCTCCCTTTATACCACACCCTTCCCCACAAAAATGGATTTTTAACATTGCTAGTATGTGTTCAGTTTACCCAATGTTGCAAGTATGGTTTTCCTTAAGCCAGACCACCCAACCTGTAAACCTACAATGTTTATAGAAGGAATGGGACAGGTGACCTATTTAGTGGTTAAGTCAATACAAATGAGCCATGCTTCTGGAAAAACAAGGTTATATGGCAGTAATTTATTGTCATTATCTTTGTCTACCACATGTAGTATACTTTAAAAAATGAGACAGACTATATCCCACAAAAGAATCTACTTCCTGGAAAATAAAGGCAACACCATTAAGGATTCCCTTTGATTATGCACTGAAAGGCACTGAACAAACGTGGAAGAGGCCTCACATGGATTATAAAGGTACGTACTTGGTTCAACTCTTTCTCAGCTGTCACTGAAATTCAACATTTTGAGTCTCTGAGATATGAACTAGCTGGGAAAACTCACCCAGAACCATATCCTCATAATAATCAGATTCTGAGAACTGCAGAAACCTTTTTACCCTTAAAGTAGCTGTAAAATTTTAAACCTAGTGATTCTTTAGTCTTACTCATTAAAGATGACTACATTTAAGAAATGGAATTACCATTTAACAACTAAGCTCTCAGGAATAACTGATCATAACATACTAGATGTTTTCTCAAAAAGCATGTGACTGCACCTAGGTACAAATATAAAGCAATTAATAACTGGAAGCACTTCTATGTACTTTTATGGCTTTTAGCAGAAAGCAACCAAGACAGGTGGCTTGTCTTCAAAGACAGACTTCTTAGCAAATGTTTTCCACATATCTTCCCCAGATGATTATGCAGATTTCATGTTTCATTAAACACCAAAACCTTCCTTAAAGTAGAAAAGGAGGCAATAGATTATATCATAGCACGCTTATGGATATAATCAAATAATCTGGATTTTAAAAATCTGTAATTAAAAAAAAAAATCTGTAATTCTAAAACTCTCTCCTCTCACTCTTACTCTCCATTCACAGTAAAATGGACCTAAAGTCAGTAATTTCTACAGAATAAAGATATCTTTTTAAGAACCTGCCAATAAAACTTAAATCATCAAACTTACACAGATTGAAATGAGGTCTTTAAACACAAGTATTCGTAAGTACTTAAAAGTACAAGTAAGTTGGGAGAGAAGTTATTTTAAAAACAAAAACCATGTAGCTTGGATCAAGATCTACATTTAAATCACAGCAATAAGCAAACTTAGTGGTTTCTAGGGTGGTTGTAAGAAGACCTTCTGAGCAAGAAGTTGAAGACTTGTTCATCTAGGTCAATATAAGGATGACTATCATGCATAAGTGCTTCTCAAACTTGTAACACACCTTAGAATCTTACTATGGTTAGAAAGGCCCTCCAAGCAAAAAGTAAAAACATCTGAAAGATAATTCGATTTTATTTCACACTATTTATCCTGCAGACAACCTATTTATCTTATAGACAATCAGGCCTGTTTTTCCTACAGTAAAATAAAAGTTCAAAAATTAAGCAACTCTACACCTGCTACAGAACGTACACGGGGAAGTCCCGGTAGAGCGTGAGGGAAAAACCGAAGCTGCAGTCCTGACTGTTGCCTGTCATTTACTAGAAGGTGTCTCACCACGGGTTGGACTTAAAAGTGCAAAAGAAAAAACTTAAAAATCAAACCTAGAATTCAACTTGGTATGTTGAGATTCAGTTTTATTTACGCTACTAGCTAAGTAAAAAGCATACATATTGTGTCTGTGGTACAGTCATTACATTTGCAACTTCTCTACTTAAATTCTCTATACAAAGTCACTGCCAATTGATATGATCATTGATGGGCAAAGGGCTTAGAATAACCAAAAGATATAAAAAGTTTGCAGTCTTGCCCCAAGATACAAAAACTGAATTTTAAACAATATTATAACATACATGATTTAACAGTATATGGGAAAAAAAGTCACACATCAAATCAAGTACAAAAATATCCAAACTACCTATTATGAACTGTAATGTTTTCATTATTCTGCACAGTATTTAACAAAGAATTTAGCAGTTTCCAAAATACTCATCATTTAGTTTAAGTACTGCCACCTCTGCAGACAGTGAGATGTTAGGTGGAGTGATACTGCTTTTAGTGTTTTTAAAAATACAAAACCTCTCCCTATGAATTAATGAAGGGAAGAAATTCCTCTTCTAGGCTTCTTAGGAACCAACCCTGTGCCTAGAAATCTAGAATATATCTACTGTTTAACAGGGCAAAAGTTATACTACTCAATAAATAGTTATCCAACAGGGACAACAAGTATAATTTTAAATGATATTTCTTTGATAATTTTAAGGAATTCTCAGTATACACAGAGATTAGTGTTTTGCCTTCCTGAAAATAAAATTGAAGTCACAAGACAATCTGAATTGAAATCATCTTCACTAGTTTACCTTGCAAAAAATATTTTGGATAAAAGAGTATAATACATTACTATCTTATTTTTAAACACAGAGTAAAGTTGCTCTTGGTAAAATTAACTCACCCACATGGCACAATATTTTGGAGTAAAGGATGCTCAACAATAACAACTCACACACAAAATAACAGGTGAATTAACTTTGAGAACTTCTCTGCCTTTAAAATCAGCAATATCGAATTTATTCTGTAGAATAACACACATACCAATGTTCTGCATATAAAAGGGTCTAAGACATTTTAAAGTTAGGGATAAATTTTCCAGCATTGGAATGATTCCTTCATACATAACTGGTGAAGATATAATAAGAATGTATTTTTCCTGATCTCCAAGCTCTGAGCCATGCCTGAAAAGTTCTAAATAGAAAAAAGAAAAAAAAACTGTTTTAATCCAGTTTCTGTCTGCTAGGAGCAAGGCAGCAAACATATTTTTTTCAACCCTTTATGAAAAGATAAAGCAGAACAAAAGTGAAATATATCTTCAGATTATAAACAGGATTGTACGTTATAGTCCACCATCCTGATCATGAATGTTACAGGCCCCGACGTTAGAAGACCTCAGTCTAACGGTTGTGGGTCAGCAATAGGCATGGTGTGAAGCACTTCATCCAGGAGCTGGAGGGCCCGGTGTAAGTGAATCTCAATCCAGCAAGGCGTTTCTTTGATGCTCTGTCTTGGGTAATCCGGTCCCCAGCCTTTCACAAAACTCATCCTGAGTATGCATAAGCGACGAAGGTCATCAACACCGATTCCAGCGGCAGCTGACAAACCTAACAGAAAAGGTTTGAAAGACATCAGGAGGACAGGCTGATCTCTTCCCATTCTCCCTACACCCTACATCAATAATGTGAACAGCTTTCTTTACCTCACTCTCCCCAGAACAGAATTCTCTGTCAAAGTGCCAAGAAATAAGTATAGATCTAAACTTTATCAACAGGGACTGAAAACTTTTGGTTAAGACAATTTACATTTCACATGGGTTGTCTAGCTTCCACCAACTATAAAGTAAATTACTATACTCTACCAACACCCCACCAATTTTTCTCTTTAGAAGTGGAGGTGAAGGAGTAAGAAACTGTTTTTAAGAGGCAGTCTATGTCCACAGAATGGTTCTTAGCACCTTCCTGTCCATCTAAATAGCCTAGTTCAGAGTAAGACATGACTAACAGTAAGATAGTAACAGTCCTGGTTCCATAAAGACTGCTTGGATTACCCTGACAATGCCTCTCAATTACACAATGCAACAGATAATATGCAACTACTCAATAAGGGCAGGAGATGAGAATGAGAAATTTAGTATCTCTGGATTCTTTAGTAGAAACACATTTATAACATCACAACTAGCAAATTAATGGTTTAGATGCCCGAATTTTTTAAAAAATCAAATTCTCCAAATGAATATGCCTTATCTACCTCTAAAATGTAAACTCCTGAACATCAGTCACAATGGAGACTCTGCATCTAATTTTCCAGTGAAAACATACAGTCATAGCATCAATGTGCATTCATCAATATTACAACGAAACTAATGGGAGGAATTTGCATGTACTGTAGAGAAACCTGCAGGGCCACTGCAGTTTTCTTAGCCAGTGTGATTTGCTTACCACACTGAAGAGGTTAAGAACAGGGGTTGAATGAATCACTAGTTATGCCTTCAGACGTGGAAGATGGGTGCCACGTGTTTCCATCATAAAAGTCTATAGTCAGGAGTTTAACTCTGCAGTAAAAAATTCCCCATCAGTGTGAAACCTGGCATACAGTTCAATTTTACCCTAAAATTAAAAAAAAGTCTACAAGTTACCAAAATACCACCCTCACTTAGTTTCCTCTGCATACTTAGCATACTTAAAGAAACTGGAGGTACCTCATTCTGAAGTTGAGATACGCTTTCCTTGTAGAGGAAAGCCAAGCACATCAGCGATGACAGCCCGCCCAGGCTGGTGAGGCGGGGACTAAAAGCATCAACCAAGAAGGGGAAATGACCGATAACGGAACAATAACCCCTTGTCTTCTTTATCCCAGACTCCCTTTTTGACACAAAAAGAATGAAAACAGGGTCCTAGACAGACGGCAAATATTAACCAAGAATAGGTTTTTACAAATTCAAAAATGTTACCATCCCAGTAAAGAGAACTTTAATTTCTATTATGGCTTAAGGTAGCTAATCAAATGAGTGAATCCAGACAAAACGACAACAGAACCAAAAGCGTACTTACTGATCGCCGGAGCTATCCCACCCACTGATCCTGGGCCGGGGATGTTTCCTGCCACGGCTGCGGCCTGGGCCGCGGCTGCGGCTTGTGCAGTGGCCGCCTGCTGCTGCATCTGCCGATGGCACTGACGCAAATCAAAGACCTTAAAAAGAAGTGTAAGTTTAATGCTGTGAGCCCATCAGGAAAGATTCCATACATCATAATCAATGCACAATTTATTCATAACTTACAGCTTCATTTAGCTCTCGAAGGAAAAAAACTAAAAACCTTAAGTTTTTATGTATACTATAACTGACAGGTAGGAAACGGGGCCAAAAGGCACATTTCACCCTCAGGATGGCCGCAGTGGCCACAGGCTTGTATCCTTTATCTAATTTAGTGTGGGACTGTGTTACTGTCTCTGTGAAAAATGACCCATTTGTGAAAAACAACCAGTGAAGAAATCACTCCCACCCTTTCAAAACGAATCGCTTTGAGTTTTCTTCAGGCTGAATTGATGACCTTGGTCACAAGCCCAGCTTCTTTTCTTTGCCATGTGAGCTACGTGGAGGAGCGCAGTAAACGCCACTGTCACACTGTCACTATTCAAGAAACACCTGTGTTTTTAAGAGATCCGTACTTCACCACATAGGAGCAAAATAGTATGCAATATAGGACTTGATTTAAAATATGTAAGAAACAAAGAAAATGCATTTAAACTCAATTTTAAAAAGAAAAAAACACAAAGAAAAAAGTATACAGATCAAGCAAATGTAAAATCTTAAGTAATGAATCTCAGTGATGGGAAATAGGATTTCATTAAAATAGTTTCTCTTTAGTTTTCTGTATGTTTAAAAATTCTAATCATTGTCAGAAAAGCTTAGCTTTGAATATTATCACTGATATCTGATAATTATATGGGTTCTTTATTAACCTCTCTGGAACCTCAGTTTTCTTATCTATAAAATGGGAATGGGAAAACATACACGATTAGGGTTGTTGTAAGCTGGGCATAGTATGTAACAAATTGTCAATAAAAGTTACTTATTTTGTTTTCGGCCTCCCCTGTAGCCATTTACCTTTCCGGATGAGTTAAGGAGCTCATTAATAATTCCAGTGTTATTGGCCATGCCACGGGCTGGCACAGTAAGGAAGGGGTTGTCACTTATACCTTTAGCCTCACAAAAGTACTGGAACGGTCTTTCCATAAGCAACTGAAATCATGGATGATAAATCACATCATCCCTTTTCTAGGAAAAACCCAACCTCCTAAAATAATGTATTTGCTTATATTTGCATTAAACAAAAAGCACTGGGATATTACACAAGCAGAGTGGTCCTCCATGAGAGTTGTAGGAATGAATGGTAAGGACGGAGTAGAAGGAAGTCTGCTCAAGGAAAACTTTTTATGTCATTTTAATTTCTGAGCCATGTGACCACATTCCTTATTCAAATAGTAAATTAAATTTTTTTAAAAAACCCCTCTACTTAGGATGCAAAAAACCCCAATATGAGCAAGCATACTTACCCTTAACAACAAAGAAATTAAAGAATGAACACTTTACCAGATAAACAACAGGTCTGACATCCAAACCATCGGTTTTCAGATGCCTGAAAAACTTCTGCTTATCTTTAAATATGATATTCACACAAACCATAAGAGCATGCAACAATGAAGAAACCTTCTCCAATTAGCAAATCACATTCCTACTTATTTCTCTACTCAATGTTTATCTTCTAGCATCAATGAAGGACAACATTTAGACTATCACATTCTCTTTAAGATAGAAATATGCCAAATATGTATGCATGTATTACCTGGCCAAATTATTATGCCTAAAAGACTTCAGGACAGAAAACATGACAAAGACAGATCTGGAAACCAGGAATTCCACAATTCCAAAAAGGAAGTAATTCCACAATGTCCAGAACAGAAATCACTATTTTTTCAAGATTCCCCAAGAGTCCATTAAATTCTGAACCTTTCCATCAGGCTACAGCCTCCTGGAAGGCATTATCTGGCGTTAACACAAAGGGAAAGCCGAATAGCTCTACAACCACTTTTTTAAATAAGAAAATTAATAAACTTTACCTTTTTAGAGCAGTTTTAGGTTCACAGTAAAATTGAGCACAAAGTAGAGAACAATCTCCCTACTCAATTACAACAGCCCCCACTACTGATAACCCACACCATGATGGTACATTTGTCACAGTCAAGGAACCTACCCTGACATGTCATTATCATCTGAAATCATAATGGATGTTAGGGTCCGCTCTTGGTTTTGCACATTCTATGAGTCTGGGCAAATGCATGATGACATGCATCCAACCCTGAAGTACCACACAGAGGAGTCTCACTGCCCTGGATTTCCTCTGTGCTCCGCCTACGCACCCTTTCCTCCCCTTATCCCTGGAAATCACTGATCTTTTTATACTATCTCCATAGTTCTGCCTTTTCCAAAATGTTCCAGAGTTGGAATCAGACACTTTGTAATACGAGATAAGGTTCCTCCATGTCTTTCTAGGGCTTCATCGCTCATTTCTTTTTAGCACTGTTAATATTCCATCGTGTCAATATACTATAGTTTTCATTCATTCACCTACTGAAGTATATCTTGGTTGCTTCCAAATGTTAGTAATTATAAATAAAGCTCTATAAACATTCATGTGCAGCAGTGTGTATAGACTTAAGTTTTCAATTCACTTGGGTAAATACCAAGGAGCATGATGGACGGATTATATGGTAAGAGTATGTTTAGCTATGTAAGAAACTACCAAACTGTCCCTCCCAGCTGGCTGTACCATTTTGCCTTCCCAGCAGCAATTACGGGAGTTTCTGTTGCTCCAGATCCTTATCAACATTTAGTTTTGTCAGTGTTCTGGATTTTGGCCATTTTACTAGGTATGTAGTGGTATCTCATTGTTGTTTCAATTTGCAATTCTCTAATGACATATAATGTTGAACATCTTTTCCTATGCTTACTTGCTATCTGTGTATCTTTTCAGTGAAATATCTGCTCAGGATTTTTGCCCATTTTTTAGTCAGTTGTTTTCTTATTGCTGTTTTAAGAGTCTTCTCTATTTCAGATAACAGTCCTTTATCAGATGTCTTTTGTAAATATTTTCTCCCGGTCTGTGCCTTATTTTCCTTCTCTTGACACTATCTTTCATAGAGCAAAGTTTTATATTTTAAGAAAAGATTTTATTTATTCATCTTCAGAGAGAAGGGAAAGGAAGGAGAAAGAGGAGAGAAACATTGATGTGAAAGGGAAACATCAATCAATTGCCTCTTACATGAGTCCCATCCGGGGACTTAACCTGCGACCCAGGCATGCGCCCTGACTGGAGATTGAACTAATGACCCCTTGCCTCACAGGATGACACCCAACCAAGCCACATCGGCCAGGGCAGAAGTTTCACATTTTTAACGAAGTCCTTTCATGGACCATGCCTTTGGTGTTTTACCTAAAAAGTCATCACCATACCCAAGGTAATCTACCCTTTTTCCTACATCATCTTTTAGGATTTGAAGACATACATTCACACAAAAATTGGTGTATTAATGTTCATAGCAGTACTTTTCACAATAAAAAAAGTAGAAATCCGTATGTTCATTACCTGATGAGTAGATAAAATGTGGTATGTGAAATATTACTGAGCCATAAAAAGGAATGAAATACACATATCTGCTACATGGATGAAGCTTGAATACATGCCTAGCAAAAGAAGTCACAGAAGGCCACATTATGATTTTATTTACTGAAATATTCTGAATAGACAAATCTATAGAGAGAGAAAGTATATCAGGGTTGTCCAGGACTGGGGGACGTGGTGGGGGGAGGGGGTGACAGTTAAAGGGTACAGGGTTTCTTTCGGGAGTGATGAAAATGTTCTAAAAGTGATTGTGGTAATGAGTGCACAACTCTGTTTATCATACTGAAAATCACTGAACTGTACACTTTAAGTACGTGAATAATATGGTATATAAGTTTTATCTCAATAAAGCTGTAAAAAACCCCCGAGTGCCCTGTACTAACCAACACTAAACAAAATAGGTCTTATGTACTTTTGAAAGCAAAAGAGCAAGGCCATTAAAAGGGAATTCATATATTTGCTTCATTTAAAGCTTGTAAAATGCCGTTTCATTAAATCAGATTTTCATAAATGACTACTCTGTCATAAGAGAAGCAGGAAAAAAAAAATCAACATCTTAGAAGAAAAAAAACCCCACAATGTAGTTCTAGCTTCTAGGTTTATGAAATGAGAATCCCTTTCCAAACCTATGTTTTCCTCAGTTTAATTAAAAAGAGAAGCCCTGGCTGGTGTGGCTCAGTGGACGGAGGGCTGGCATGCGAACCAAAAGGTCGCTGGGGCGATTCCCAGTCGGGGCACATGCCTGGGTTGCAGGCCGGGTCCCCAGTTGGGGGTGCGTGAGAGGCAACCACACATAGATGTTTCTCTCCCTCTCTTTCTCCCTCCCTTCCCCCTGTCTAAAAATAAATAAATAAAATCTTTAAAAAAAATTAAAAAGGGAAAAATGTATTTGTGTATATGTTAGGGGTTGGGGGGTGTATTTCTAATGTTGTGGGCGTTCCTCCCAGGGGCTCATACTATTTGCATGCAATTCACCTCAGTAATGTCATCTCTGATGAGAAAGTATCTGACAACCTAAACAGACTGTTTAGATACTGCTGCCCCAGGAATCAGCAAATGAAGAAAATTCCAGGGTTAGATTTAGCACATACCTGCATCTCTTTTTTTGTGGCTAATAAGAGTCTTCGGAAGAACAAGAGTATATTTGGCAAACAAATTTTTTTTTTTATTTTAGACAGTTACTATGACAAAAATGAGATTTTTTTTTTTATTCCACTAAAATGTCCCACAAAAGACTTCTTTATTGTTCCTAGCAAAGGCCTAAGATTACCATAAAAATCTATCCATAACGGTAGTTTACCAATAACATGTCTCATACCTTGGGGACTTTTCAAGGGTCATTTGTACCAAAGTAGAGATGTTACACTTAATTTGACAATCCTAGAAATTACTTTAATTATACAGGCTTCCACATTTTTAAAGCTCAAATGTTTTAAATACTGCCCCATATCTGGTAAATTCATAACTGCTTTCTGGCACTCGGTATATATTTAATACTATAGTGCTCTGTTTATTCACTTCAAATTGCACAAGTAAGCCAGAGACTACCACTCAAGATCAATGAGTAGATATGCACAACTACCTTCTCTCTCTGCTTCAAACACATGCAAAAGACAGAAAAACTATTAAAAATGGACAGCCTCCAAGCCAATCACTTAATTCATAGGGAAATACAAGGGGGTGGCAACAGCCAAAACAATCCTGAAAAACAACAAAGCTGGAGAACTCATATTTCCCATCAAAGCTTACCACACAAAGCTACAGTAATAAAGGCATAGTAATACTGCCATAAGGATAGATATACAGATCAATGAAACACAATTCACAGCCCAGAAATAAACCTGTACATTTAAGGTCAACTGAATTTCAACAAGGATGTGAGGATAATTTGATAAAGGAAAGAAGAGTCTTTTCAATGAATGGTTGCTGGAACAACTGAATAGTCTCATGCAAACTGGATCAATCATCTTAAACTATACACATAAATTACTGAGAAAGGTATCATAAATATAAGAACTAAAACTATAAAACCCTTAGGAAAAAACACAGGAGTAGCTCTTCATGACCTTGGATGAGGCAATGGCTTTAGATATGACATCAAAAGTACAAGCATTCAAAGAACAGATAAACTGGACATCAAAATTAACAATTTTTGTACTGCAAATCATATCAAGAAAGTGAAAGACAAGCCAAGGAACATATGAAACTATCTGCAAGTTATGTGTGTGACAAGGCTGATACCCAGAATATATAAAGAACTCTTACAACTCAACAACAAAAAGACAACCCAATTACCCTGGCTGGTGTGGTTCAGTTGGTGGAGCATTGTCTCATGAACTGAAAAATCGTGGGTTTGATTCCCAGTCAGGGCACATGCCTAGGTTGTGCGTTCGGCCCTGGTTGGGTTGTGCACTCAACGTAACTGAACAATGTTTCTCTCCCTCTCTTTCTCCCTCCCTTCCCCTCTAAAAATAAAATAAAATCTTTTAATAAGATCCCTATATCCTTTAACTGACCTGTAGTGACTGAAAATGAAGTATTGTTGTGAAGCAATCAAGTAATTTTTAGTAGACACTGGCTACATTATCTGTATGCTAAGCAATTTCCTGGGAATAAATGATGATGAAATAGTTAATTCCACTAATTTAAAATAGCCAATAATAAAGATGCTTAGGAAGACTGTGAAACCTCTGAAATTAAAAATGTTTAGGCTATCTAATTACAACTACATTTCTCTTTCAAACAGTGTTTGTCATAAAATTGAGTCGAATATGTAATAATTAATACAAAATACCTTGGAATTAATCTGAAAAATGATACAGAAATAGAACTTATTTAATACACAAAATAACTAACCTTAAAAAAACCTTGTGTTGGATTTTTTCATTTCTCGGTTCTTAATTCAAAAAGCTAATTTTAGAACTCCCTTTCATAAAATCCTAAAGATTGACTAAGATGGAATTCCAAAATTTTACATATTTTAATAACAAAGGAATGTTTAGTGGTTTTACTACTTTCTAAAACCTATGCACTACTCTAAAACAGTTAGCAAGTTTGCTAATAAAATAACTGAACATGAATGCAACCACCAAACTAAGTAACTAGTCATGTCAACAAATGCCCCAAGGAAATGTTTTATAAACAATTTCTGAGATTTAATACATAAAAAGACGTTTTACTACTCCACCCACAACCATCTCAATTCTTTAAACAACAAATAGTTTTCCAAGTCTAAAACACTTAGGTAATAAAACTTCCACTGACCTTTATATATGCACTTGGGTAGATCTTATGAACAGCATCTCCAGGTGCACGCCCAGCTTCTCTGTCTAAGTAGTAACTCTGAACAAAGACTGCGTGGTCACTAAGGCACCTGACCCAAACATCACCTTCACCTTTACATTCCAACTGCACACCTTTGCCTATGTGCAACCTTAGGGAAAAAAGGGAAATTACATTTTATTTTGATAATTATTTTTTAAAAAGTATTAGTTCAGGCCACAGGAGGGGAGGACCCCCCAAAACTGGAATTTATTAAAAATTGTTTATTTATTCTTACATGTTTAAACTTCAGTCACCTTCAAAGTAAACTCTCTGTTTCATGTAATACACCTATTGAGATGCTTTTTCCACTGCTCAAAACAGATTTTGAACTTGTCGATTTGGATGCGCTTTTGTGCTTCTGCCGGTTTTTGTTTCCTTTTCCGCATCAGCAAAACGTTTCCCTTTGAGGAATTTTTTTTCCATCAGGGGAAACAAACAAAAAAAAAAGTTTCTTGGGGAGAGATTTGTTGAATAAGGAGGGTGGGACATGGGGGTCATGCCGTTTTCAGTCAAAAACTGCTGAACACTCAGAGTGGTGTGGGCAGGTGCACTTGTAAATCACCCATGATCAAGTGGACAAACGCATTAGAGTCCTCAAAAAAATTTTCACTGAAGCTGAACACAGCCTCTTATAACACCAGCTGGTACACTGACACGGATGGGCTCCTCGAACACTCACCCAGCGGGGGAAGCCTGTACTACAAGAGGCTCACCCTCTAGAAGATAATTCCGGGTTTTATTGGGTCCCCCTCCCCTGCTTACTATGTGTCAGGAACGTTTAACATAAATTCGTCCTCACAATTCAATGAGCTAAATATCACTATTTCCATCCTATAAATAACAAAACTAAGGCTTATAGGTATACTGTCCAAATTGACAGCCACTAGGTAAAAGTGGTTACTTAAATTAATTTAAAATAATTTTAAAATTCAGTTAATCACATGACTATATTTTAAGTGCTCAATGGCTATATGTGGCTAGTAGCTACTGTACTGGACAACACAGATATAAACCATTTCCTTCATTACAGAAAATTCTATCAGCACTGGTTTAGAGAGATAATTTGCCAAAGACACAGCTCTGATAGACCCAAAATGATGTATTTACACACACATTTTCTTAAAGAGTTGAGATTACACAGTACCTAAAATTGAGTGTTTCCCCATAATATTTCATCTTAAGCATTTACATGTGATTATATAAACCTAACATTTTAATGACTACAAAAAAGAAAGTTTATCAAAATTTATTTAACCATTCTCTTATTGTTATCCAGCATTTTAAATAACATTTGAAGAAACACGCCTTCAGTTATTTATTTCCTTTAAATATGTGTAGAAATAATATATGATCAGAGGAAATAAAAATTAGTTTTTAAATTGGATTCCAAAAGGTCTTGTTACCATTCAAACACAGAAACTTCATTTACACACACACATACACACACACAAAATCTTAAAGATGTGGCATATATACACAATGGAATATTAATAAAAAAGAATAAAATCTTGCCATTTGCGACAACATGAGTATTATGCCAAGTGAAATAAGTCAAGCAGAGAAAGACAAATACCATATGGTTTCACCTATATGTGGAACCAAAAAACAAAACAAAACAAAAACAGACTCATAGAAACAGAGACCAAAATGATGGTTATCAGAAGGGAGGGGGAAGGTTGAAAGGGGAAGGGGAATTGAGTTACTAACACTGTGATAAGTATACACAGTGACAGAGGACTGATTACTAGAATTAGGGTGATCACATTGTACAATATAAAAATGTCAAATCACTATATTGTACACCTGAAACTATAGTTGGGATACAATATAAGATTATATGCCAACTATATGTAAATGAAAAAATTTTAAAAATCACCTTTTATCATATTTGAAATGGCAAACATCTACAATTCAAGTGGAATGCTTACTGATTCTGAATTTTCAAGATGACCTTTGTTTTTTTTCTATTCGAACACTTACATAATCTACATTGAGAAATATAACTTTGAATAAAAGACAGTGTACTGTGTTCAACTTTTAAAATAACTATACAATCAATACCTTGCTCTCTCAATGGCTTCTGTCCTGTGGACATTGGAGAGCTGACCCAAGCAGAAGCGGTCTCCTCCAGAAGGGTCCACATATCCATCAACGGTAACAATAGGGCAGCTTGAAGGAACCTTAAATGTCTCTCCTACTTGAACATCCATTTCAAAGTAAGCGATGGAACACCAATACTCAGGAGCTACAGGAAATAAGTGAGAGCGAACATCACTCCATAAGACAAAACTTTTCCTACAAGGAAGGGTGAAGGGACAGGAGAGGCATCTGAAAAGCACCCAAAAGAATATGATTAAAATGACAACACATTTAAAAAGTAGGGATTTTCATGTCTTCTCTTTTTTAGCTCAGTCCCTAGCATTCTGGAAACTGTAGAGTCACTTATAAAATCTAGAACTTGATTTTTATCTCAAAGGATCCAATCAACTGAGAATTTAAGGAACAGAAGTAATCAGAACCTAAAATAATTATTTTACCATAATATTTCATTTGACTGCACATATGTTCTATGTAGTCTAACCTTTTATTTTAAAAACATACTGACTCAAGACATATTCCAGGGAAGTACTCTTGAAAACATCAATCCATGTTGTATTTTTCTAGTTCCCTACCTGAGAGTAAGGGCGTAAGTTACTCTGCCATTCATTCAGACCAGAGTCAAGGTTAATTACACTCCAACTATATAGCTGCCCTTAGTAGGAATTCTCAATCGTCTCTTGAGCGAAAAGGTCATTTGTTCTATCACTTAATGAAGTCAACTCATGTTAACTACTACAATTCTATCTTTGAGGATATATTTAGTATATTCATTTGAACATGAATGGTTTAAAATAATTTTAAATGATTGGGAAAAAAGGAGACACTACTTGGTTTGGTTTGTAAAGTTTTCTGCTGATAAACAAATTATTTATCTGCACCTCAATGTGTCCTTATGAACCCTGACTGGAGTAGAATTTGAAGCAATAAATCCTTCAACAATCTGAATGGATAGTTAGAATAACCAAAAAAAAAAGATCTTTTAAAAAACCCCCAGCAATCTTAAAATGCAGTATAATTGATGCTTAACATAAATTTTTAAAAACCCTGTATCCTGTAAACTCTTTGTATCTAATTGATTTTCAAAATGTTGTCAGGCAGAAAGTACCTTCCAATGAAGAATAAAACAGACCACGAAGATTTGGTGATGCAAAAACTTAAAATTTCAAATGTTTTATCACAGAGATCAAATCACCTAATCATGAATACAAACATTACTTTAAATATATTTAAATTATCAGTAATCATAAAAACTAGTGCTATACTAAAGTGGCTTATGAAAAAGACAGTCCGGAATATTTATGAAGTTATTCCTTATAATAAAATTCTTTATTAAAGACATCACATTATACTATGGACAAGAAGCTTCAGCAAAGAACGGGCAGGTATGTTGTTTGAAGCTAAAACTAAAGAGATGGACTAAGACAAGATACTAATTATCCAATGTTTTGGAAGCAAAAACAGTAATAGCACTTAAAAGAGGTCTTTACACAATCAGTCCAAAAAATAAATTTTGTTACAAACAATGCCCCTAAAGTCATGAATGTTTACAATGCTGAATTAAAAAATGAGGTGGGAGTATATGCATTTCCTAGTTCACACTGAAGAACACTAACCAGAAGTAAAGTTTGATGGTGAGCAACCTTTTTTCCATGAGTCAATTGGGGGGTGGAGGGGAGGAGGAGTTGTATAATCTTGTTTAAACAAAAATATATACTTTTATCATCGTGAACTACAACATCCACACCTGCACTTAAACCTTATTTTATTATTTTCCAGTCACCAAGGGATTTTTTTTGTTTGTTTCTGTAATATGTCAGACCCCATGCAACAATGATGGTTACATAAAGCTCCATCTCTGAATAGGTTTAGAATGAGCTGACCTGCTGGCACTAGGAACAAGAGTTTTAAGAGACTTGAGGATTTAAAAAGCTGGTATCAGAGTTGTGCCACAAACCAGGAATGAAAAATGACCAACTATCAAGAGGTTATTAATCCTAGGAAGGTAGGCAGAAGGGGGTTACTATCTGCGAGGACAGAGGGCCAGAGGTAACATAAATGGTTTTCAGAGAACTTGGCACTGCTGGGATACAAATACCATGTGAAAAAATTTTCTATTCCAATGTAAATTAGCTAACCAGACAAGAGGAAACATTATTTTTAAAACAGGAGCAGGAAATATGGATTCGTTAAGTTCATAAAGCCTTTCTGGATCTCTCTTTGCTTTTTTGCTCCAAGAACCAAATACCATTTAACTGACAAGCCTGCAGCTTCTCAAAACTAACAGCAACCGGATGAAGTTGCTCAGTTGAGAAAGAGTTTTCTAAATGCCCCAATTCATTTTAAAGGAAGTGGGATTGTTAATGTGCTTGCTCACAGTTGATATTTTTAGTTTCTTGTCCCTAAATTAGTGAAGTTGAACTGGTCTCATGAAGCCTATACTGGGTGCTCATCACTGGCCAGAGAATAGGTTTAAAAGACTGAGTTTAAGGTTTAAACTCAGTTTGAAAGGTTTAAAAGACATGATTTTTTTTTCCTTTATAATATAAGGGCATAGCTAAATATGTTTTGTAATGGCGACCATATTATAAAGCACAGCTTTATCAGACAAATGTTGTTTAATTATAAAGGAAAATGAAAGTCTCCAAGGCATTATCTTTAATTCCTGACATAAAAGTTATTGAAGAAAAAAATTTTTACTTTACTTTGCATAATTTTTTAAAAATTAAAAATTTGGATAAAGAACCTAAGAGACTCACTATAAATTATCCTATTATTTAGATTTCAATGAGAGGCACCGTGAGAATCTTTTTATGAACACATAAAGGAACTCTTTTAAATGATGAATACCTCCAGTGTACTAGAGCACAACCTGAATTTGGAAATGTATGTATTTTGAATCCATTTTTGAACTGCCAAAACAATCTCAAAGACAGAGGAAACTCTTCACTTTAATTTGAAATCAACATTTAATTTGATGACTGTATCTCAGCTTTAAGAAGCAAAAACAATTTGGATGCTTTTTATTTCTTTTTGTCTATCTGCTGTGGCTAGGACTTCCAGTGTTATGTTGAATGAGAGTGGTGAAAGCAGACATCCCTGTATTGTTCCCAATCTTACAAGAAACACTTGTAGCTTTTGCCCATTGAGTATGAGGCAGGCAGTGAGTGTGTCATGTATGGCCTTTATTATGTTTAGGTACGTTCCCTCTATTCCCACTTTGCTGAGAGTTTTGATCATAAATGGGTGCTGGATTTTATCAAATGCTTTTCCTGCATCTATTGATATGATCATGTGGTTTTTATCCTTCACTGTTTATGGGGTTGGATCATAGTCAGTGATTTGTGCATGTTGTACCAAATTTGCATTCCTGGAATAAATCCCACTTGAACATGGTGTATGATCTTTTTAATGCACTGCTGTATTCAGTTTGCTAATATTTTGCTGAGGTAATATCAATGTCCATCAGGAATACTGGCCTATAATTTTCTTCCTTTGTAGTCTTTATCTGGTTTTGGAATTAGAATAATGTTGGCCTTGTAAAATGAGTTTGGGGGCCTTCCCTCCTCTTGAATTTTATGAAATAGTGTGAGAAGGAAAGGTGGTCGTTCTTCTCCAAATGTGGGGTAAAATTCACCTGTGAATCTGGTCCAGGGCTTTTGTTTGTTGGGAGTTTTTTGATTACTGCTTCAATTTCACTAGGTGTAATCTGTCTATTCAGATTCTCTTAATTCTTCCTGATGTATTTTTGGAAGGTTGTATGTTTCTAGGAATTTATCCATTTTGTCCAGTTTTGTTGGTATAAAATGTATTTTGCCGTGTATAATGTGCTCCCATGTATAATGCACACACATGTTTTTGGCCCAAACTTTCAGGGAAAATAGCTTTTGTTTCAAATTTTTCATTCAATTTTTTAATTTATTTATATTTAGATACTTCTTTTTATTATAAAGGAATTTTCGCATTTGTTTTTGGACATATTATGGTATAAGAAATTTTATGTAACAAATAATTACAAAACATAAAAACAGATATAAGGTATTTCAGGTATGATCCATATATAATGCATGCACATCCTTATTTTTCTCTCTAAAATTTGGGCAAAAAAGTACACATACATGACAAAAAACAGGTAGCGGTTCATAATATTTTCTCACAAAGCTTTGTATTCTTTGGTGTCAGTTGTTATTTCTCCTCTTCCATTTCCGATTTTATTTATTTGGATCCTCTATTTTTCTTGATTAGTCTGGTTAAAGGTTTGTCAATCTTGTTTATCTTTTCAAAGAACCAGCTCTTAGATTCACTGATCTTTTTTAGTTGTTTTAGATTCCATTTAATTTCTTTCTGCTCTGCTCTTTATTTCCTTCCTTGTACTCACTTTGGGCTTTGTTTGTTGTTCTTTTTCAAGCTCCTTTAAGTGCAAAATTAGATTATTTGAGCTTTTTCTTATTTTTTGATACGCCTGTAATGCTATGAATTTCCCTCTTAGATTGCTTTTCCAGTATCCTGCAGATTTTGAATTGTTGTGCTTTCATTTTAATTTGCATCAAGGTATCTTTTGATTTCTTCCTTGATCTCACTGCTGACCCATTCACTGTTTAATAACATGTTATTTAGCTTCCATGTCTTTGCCTGTTTTTCAGTGTTATTCTTGAGATTGATTGATTTCTAGTTTCATAGCACTGCTGTCAGAGAAGATGCTTGGTATGATTTTAATCTTAAATTTGCTGAGATTTGTTTTGTGTCCTAATATGGGGTCTATCCTTGAAAATGTTCCATGTGCACTTGAAAAGTATGTGTATTCTGCTGCCTTGGTATGAAAGGCTCTGAAGATATCAATTAAACCCATTTGATCTAATGTGTCATTTAAGGCTGCTGTCACCTTGTTGATTTTCTGTCTGGAAGACCTATCCATTGAAGTCAACGGGGTGTTAATATCCCCAACTATAATTGTATTTCTCTCTTTCTCTCCCTTTATGTTCATCAAGATTTGTTTCACATATTTAGGTGCTTCTCTACAGGGTGCATATATGTTTACTAGGGTTAATCCTCTTGTTGGATTGTTCCCGTTATTGTTATGTATTGTCCTTCTCTTGTCTCTTACTATAGCCTTGGTTTTATAGCCTATTTTGTTGGATATAAGTTCTG